AAAAAAAAAAAAAAAAAAAAAAAAAAAAAAAAAAAAAAAGAATCAGGGCTAATCAATGCCAGCTCCTACCCCTGTTATCATTTTTATTCCCCCTGTACATTGTTTCACAACTTGGAAATGGATCTCTCTGAAACCCAAGACCAATCAGGTAGGAATGCTTGTGTATTACAGTCATCTTGCCTGCACAAAGAGCTACATCTTCCTGGTGCCAAGCTCCCTGTACTTCATGTGCTACTGAACAGCTTCAATGGAGACCAGAAGCCTCCAGTCTGACCCCAGACTGTGCTCAGTCTCAAAGCCTTGCTCCAATACTGTCTGTTCTGAGCAGCCTCTCAGATGGCTGCCCTTACTCCATTCTTCCTGTCATTGGGGCTAGGTGGGCCCTCACCTACCTGTCCCATGCACTTGGGGCACGGCATAGCCCTGTGCCCACAGGCCTGCTATCACCTCTGTCCTGTCCTAGGAACTGGGTGTCACCCTCAGGTTAGCAGAGAACTGAGCACATGCTAAGTAATACCTGCACTGGCCAGGGGCCAGGAAATGGGCACACTCATACATGGTTGGTGGGGTCGTAAACTGACACACCTTCCTGGAAGGCAACCTGGCAGTGTCTACAAAAATGTAAAATGCGGGGCTGGCCAGTTAGCTCAGTTGGTCAGAGCTCAGTGTTGCAACACCAAGGTCAAGGGTTTGGATCCCTGTACCAGCTAGCCACCAAAAAAAATGTTAAATGCACATTCTTTTTGTCCTAACAGTTCCACTTCTAGGAATTTATTCTACAGGCACACTGCAATAGCAGGCTTCCTTTTGAATAAATAAAAAGGGATATACATGCATTAATGTATGACAAAAGATCATTCATTCATTTACTCCACAAATATTTATGAAGCTCTATGTACTAGGTACTATTGTAGATACTGAGAATACAGCATTGAAAAGACGGGGTTTATATTCTAGTTGTGGTGTAGGACAGTCAACAAATAAATATATGCCACCAGCTATGCTAAGGAAAAGACAGCTCATCTATCCATTGAGAGAATGGGACTTTTTTCCTCATAACACTTTTTTTAATCAACACATATGTACATAAATATCTAAGGCCAAATAGGGAGACTACTCACATGTGATCAGCATCACTGAAGTGTGACTTTCTGCCCTTTGTGTATCTTCTCAGTTCCCCAAGTCTACTCTGTGAATCACTTTAGCAGGTGCAGGGAGAGGTGGAGAAGAAAATGTCGATCACTGAACACAAGCTCTGAGTCTCCTCCTCACTGACCCCTTGCTCTTCTGGGCTTCCATTATTGATCCTTCTACTTCTCAGCAGCTTGTTGAGAACCTACATTCATCCAATCCCCACCACTATTTGGTGACCACCCACCATGTGTCAGGTACTAAGCAAGGCACTGGGGGAATAACCGAGAGGCCATGTGGTTCCTACACCCAGAGCACTCTCAGTCCAGTGCAGGAGACAGGCAAGAGCAGTGACAATTCACATACAATGTGACTAGGGCCACAGGAAGGGAGCAAAGGATGATATGGGAAGAGGGACAAGGAAATAACAGTTCAGCTAAGACCTGAGGCTGAATAGAAGTTAGCAGGGGAGGAAAGGGTGCTGCTGACAGAGGACAGAGACAAGTTGTGCTTAAACTCTAAAAAGACCAGCATGGCTGCATCAGAATGAGTAAAAGTAGTGCCTCGGTGCCTGCCCTGACACCTGGGGCACGGAGAAGGGGACTGGTCCCCCCCCCCCCACAACCAGGCACACTGTGCTAGCGCCTCAGGGCCCACCTAGGGACCCAGGGTAAGGAGCTGGGGACTGGACCCCCCCCCCCCACAACCAGGCACACCATGCCAGCACCTTGGGACCCACTCGGGGACCTGGGGCATGGAACTAGGGATCGGACAATCTCCACAACCAGGCACACTGCCAGCAACACAGAGCAGGCCAAAAACATCTCCTCTATGTGGGTGGCCCACCACAGCCACTACGATAACCATGGCCACCATGAAGGTGGCTAGATGCCACACAACCACCATGCAGATGGTCCGCCAGCCATTGGAGTGAGATGACACAAGGAGAGTCACCAGCAGAGATAAAGAGGAGGATGTCTGTCTCCACAGAGCCCATTTCATAGTGACGGAAGAGACATCTGGGGGACCTGATCAAGCATCTCAGCATGGGACAGATCATTTAGGCAGCAAATCAACAAAGTAACTACTATTCTTTCAGAGGGAGAGAAGAAATCTAGGGTGATTAGAGGGGGGAGGGGAGAGGAAGGGGGATGGGGTGGGATTGGACAAGGGGCATAAAGAATAATTACAATTTGTAACAATGTATATGCTCATAATATTGATTTAATCAACATATCTCAATGTTGAACCCCAAAAATATATATAATCAATTTTGATTCAATAAAAATTTTAAATTAAAAAATAAAAAAATTTTTTAAAAAAGAATGTGTAAAAGGGTTATTGTGAAAAGTTAGAGAACTGCATAGGCCCAACAAAGGATCAAGGACCATGACAACAAGTGTGAAAAGAAAAAGAAAACAAAACAAAGCACAAGGAAGCCATGGGACAGTTTGGGGGGTTTTTTTTGTCTTTTTTTTTTGAGACCGGCCGCACCGCGCTCAGCCAGTGAGCGCTGTGAGCGCACTGGTCATCCCTATATAGGATCTGAACCCGCGGCGGGAGCGCTACTGTGCTCCCAGCACCGCAGTCTCCCGAGTGTGCCACGGGCTCGGTCCACCACGGGACAGTTTTAAGCAAAGGAGAGATATAACTGGATTTTCATGTTACAAACATGCAGAAGTGATTGGGCGTGGGGGGTAGCAAAGCTAAAGGCAGAGACACCAGTCGTAGGAGGCAGCAAGTCACAGAAACCCCAGGAAGAAATGACAGTGGCTGGGACTAGGTGGGGTTGAGCAGATTTGAGGTAATCAAGAAACTGGATTGATGAGACACAGAAATCAACTGTCCATCTGTCCATCTATCTGTTGTCTGTGGGAGAAGAAGGTGGAGTCAAGTGTCCCACTCAGCCCTCCACTTGCTCAGCCTTCCCTTTCATTGCCTTGCCACCATACTAAGGCCTGATCTCCCTTTTAATTGTGATGTGAGGATCTTATCGGCCCACTCCGCTTTGTTGTCCCCTTCCCAGCTCCTCTGGCAGACAAGGAAGGAAAGAGAACCAGAAAGATGTGGTTGAAGTATCTCAGGGTGGTGGAATCCCACCAAAAAAGGGAGTCTTGGTGGCCAGTCCCTCCTGCTGGGACAACAGGTAAGTCTGGGATCTGGAAGTACTCTGCTCACCAAATCCACCCACTGCCACTCCCTCTGGCCAGACTGGCAAAACACCTCCCCCCACCCTAAACCATTCTGAGACAGGGATGCCAGCTGCCGCCTCTCCTCCGGCTGTTCCCTCTCTCCAGCAGGGCAGCATCTAAAGGCTTCTGGAGGAGTCTTAGCATCTCAGTCCTCCCAGAAGCTGCTAACCTTTCTGTCCCAGTCCCCTGAGAGATGTTCTCCATTCAGTGTCATCTAGCCCTGCATCTCCTAAATGCCTCTTTACCAAACTCCAGCAGCTCCTGGCAGTGATAAGTTCCCAATGGATCCCTCGGAGCCCCCTTAGGAGGCTGGAAGTGGGGAGGGGACACTCCACCCTTTTCCACTGGCACCACACTCACCGCATCCTCTTGTGGCTGCTCCTACACGAACGTCCAGTTCAGATCCCTCCCAAAATGGTTCCTCCAGTCCTCCAAAAGCTTCCCTTCTCAGAAGTGCCACAGAACATGGGCAGAGCCACACACTCAAGAACTCAACTGTGCATGAACATTTACAGTTCTCTGCGGTATTCTATGCAAACTAGCCTCCTCTGCCAGCCTGGAAGCTTTTGAAGGGCAGAAACCACATTGCCAACTTCTCAGAATCCCCTCATCTAGCAAATTTGTTATTATTATCAGACTGCATCTACTCCACCCCCCTGCTCCAAACTTTGGGTGCCTCCTGACAGGACTTCATGAGGTGCTGCCTTTTCTGCCATTCAATATACATGTACTGAGCACTGGCTGTACAGCAGGGCCTACGCTACAGCAGCCATATTCAGCTCATCAGAGGAAAGTTATTCAGAGTTCATCGGAAATACCTGATACTGTCTGGGCCTTAAAGGATGTCACACGGGGGCCGGCCCGGTGGCGCACTGCTACAGTGCGCCGCTTAGGAATGCGGCGGGACTCCCGCCGAGGGTTCAGATCCCACATGCAGTCCGGCCGCTCACTGGCTGAGCGAGGTGCGGGCGCAACACCGAGTTGCGATCCCGTTGCCGGTCCCAGTCCGGTTCGGGCGCGACACTGAGGGTTGGGATCCGTTGCCGGTCACGGAAAAAAAAAAAGGATGTCACACGGGAAGTGACACCTTCTGTTAAGTAGTAAGTGCTCCAGCAAAGGTGTGTAAAAAGAAGTACCACTGATGGGGGTGTAGAACTGGTGGGGCAACCTGGCAGAGCCAATCACCATTTTATAAACACATCTACTCTACTATTCCACCCACCTAGTCTGTGTTACACTCATCCAGGAATATAAGAATATTAACTGCAGCCTTTTTTTTTTTTTGGCAGCTGGCAGGTATTTGCAGTACTTTGGATGGGCAAAAACTGGAAACAATCTAGAAGTCCATCAACAGGGGTCTAACTAAATTACGGCACAAACATCCACTGGAACGCTATATAGTTAATGAAAATAATGAAAAAGAGTCTCTGTGCTGACACAACAGGAACACCAAAACACACGATTATGTGAAAAAAGTCACAAAATGACACATATGTATGATCTCCTATATTACACACATACACACTTGAACTATATTTATAGCAATAACAGTTGGAGAGGAGAGTTGAAGAGAATAGAAAAGGGAAAAAAGGGGACTTTCCCTTTCACTCACACACACATTTCTGAGATGCTCCAATTTTTACTAATGTAACAGAACAAAAGAAAACAAAAATTCAAAGTAAATGATGATGCCAGAGCCTAGACAAGAAAGGGCCTAACTGGGTGCTCCCCACAAGTTCCTCTCAAACTCTGAGAATGGTCACTAAGTGAGGGGATAAACAAACATCTTTTCTACCGGTAGTCTCAAAGATGAGAAGGTGGTGTGGTGGGCGCTGTAGGGTACACTAGCATGAAGTGCCAGACAACCAGGATTCAGTCCAAGCTCTACTATGACTGACTGAGTGACCATGGGCAGGGCACAGTGGTTCCCTGGACCGGTTTTCTCATCTGTACTGGGTGGCAGAGAGGTACAGAGCATGGGCTTGAAAGTCTAGAGACCAGCCCTGCTACTCACCTGCTGTGATCCTAAATAAATCACTCTCTCTCTCAATCCTGTTTCCTCTTCTGATTTTTTTTAAAGTGTGGGGGGGTGAGGAATAATATCATTTAATATCATTTATCCTCCCAGAATGTTGCAAGAATTAAATGATAGCACATACTAAGGTGTTTAATACAGTAACCAGCACATGACAGATGCTCAATAAACAGCAGTTGCTATCATTATTGCTGAGTGAGGTAACCACATTGGCTCTGCCCTACATAATGGGGTATTGAGAAGATCTAATGAGATGTATGCTGGTAAAGAGCTTCGGAAGTAGAGAGTGGGACACACAAGTGAGGAGCACTTACATAACGATTACTCTTCCACCCTAGCCCCAAGACTCAGCTACCCCACAACTAATATCCCCAGTGTGCATGGGAGAATTGTAGGATACTCGATTTATCCTATAGACAAAATTCTAATCAATTGTTTATTTGGGTCCCCACTTCAATTAGATAGGAAACAGCAAATCAGAAGGGGGAAGATGGGCTGTTAGAAGGAAGTGCTGACAACTACTGCCTAATAATATCCCAGCCCAGGAACTCTCAGACTCCCGGTGGCCCATCTCTGGATCCCTTCAAGTCCTCACCCATCTCTGATCCCCAGGCTCCTCAGGGTACTCTCTGCAAATGGACCCACACTCTTCAAGGTCACAAAACGCAGCCCAGCTCCTCAGACTCTTCCATTCATCATCCAAGGCACATCTCTTTCCCAAGCTACTCCACAAACCAAGGGGTACTTTCCCAAAACCTGCCACATCTTCCTCCAGTGTCCCTCAGAGATGCCTCCTCACACTGCCTTCCTGCTCTACAAAATGCTCCCCACAATGCATCACCCCAGGTTACTCCCAGATGCCTATGTCCTCATCCCAGGTGCCCTCATCTCCACAACGGACATGACTGAGCCCCAACTCCAGTTCAGGGCTCTCCACCTGACATTCTACACACACCTCACATCTCAGGGCCATCGCTCCCGCTCTTCCACACTCCCAAACTCTCACTTCCACTCTCAAGCCATCCCACCCAGGGCACTAGGATACATTCTCCGCCTGGTTCCCCCTTCCCCTTCCCTGCACTCTGCAGCCTCACATGCCCGGGCTCCTAAAATTTCTTCCTCAGAGACGAGGGCACACACCTTCATCTGGGACCCCTCGAAACCCTCCTCCCACTCCCAGAGTCTTCACACATCCATCTTTCTGTTCCTCCCATACAAACACCCTGAAACACTCCCCATCGCAGGCTCCGAGACTTCCTCTGCCTACTCCTCCCGGATCCCCACCCGGAATCCGCTCTTGCCCGCAGCAGGATCCATGCCTCCCCCAGACGCCCCCTCTGTCCCACTCGGGGCACTAATATCAGAATCCACCTCCAACCCGCACCTGGTCGGGGACAGGGACAAAGGATGGGAGCCTCTCGGCACCCTGCAAGCTCTTGCTCACTCCCATAGGAAGCCACTCACGTATTTCCAGCATCTCTCCAACTCCTCCCAGCACCTTTCCGGAGTCTCTGAGGCTCCCCTCCGGGCCCCGAGTCGCCTCTCTCAGGAGCCGCTCTGCCCGTGCGTTCACTCCCACTCCCACTTCCAGCCGGTTCTGGTCCCTCCGCCTATTCCTCTCGGCCGATCCCGGCCGATCCCTCCCGCCGCCGGGTCCTTCCACTCCCACCTCGAGCAGTCCCAGCCCCTCCCGTCCCCGGGTCCCCTCAGGACACCCCCGAGACGGCCCCTTACTCGCTCTCCGGGACCTTCGCGGTCCCCTCCCGCCCCCCCCCCCGCCGTCCCGGCGGCCATTGTTCCAAGATGGCGGCGGCGGGTGAGGCCGGGCCGGGTGCGGGTTCGGGGGTCCCGGGCGGTGCTCACCTGCAACTCAGCGCGCTCGGCCTCCCAGCGGGCCTTCTCGGCTTCAAAGCGCGCCCACTCGTGCTGGATAAAGTGCAGG